TGTGCCCCTCTTTTGAGGCGCCTCAAAAGTCGTCTCAAAGCTCGTCAGGAAGGGAAGGTGTGCCCCTCTTTTGAGGCGCCTCAAAAGTCGTCTCAAAGCTCGTCAGGAAGGGAAGGTGTGCCCCTCTTTTGAGGCGCCTCAAAAGTCGTCTCAAAGCTCGTCAGGAAGGGAAGGTGTGCCCCTCTTTTGAGGCGCCTCAAAAGTCGTCTCAAAGCTCGTTAGGAAGGGAAGGTGTGCCCCTCTTTTGAGGCGCCTCAAAAGTCGTCTCAAAGCTCGTCAGGAAGGGAAGGTGTGCCCCTCTTTTGAGGCGCCTCAAAAGTCGTCTCAAAGCTCGTCAGGAAGGGAAGGTGTGCCCCTCTTTTGAGGCGCCTCAAAAGTCGTCTCAAAGCTCGTCAGGAAGGGAAGGTGTGCCCCTCTTTTGAGGCGCCTCAAAAGTCGTCTCAAAGCTCGTCAGGAAGGGAAGGTGTGCCCCTCTTTTGAGGCGCCTCAAAAGTCGTCTCAAAGCTCGTCAGGAAGGGAAGGTGTGCCCCTCTTTTGAGGCGCCTCAAAAGTCGTCTCAAAGCTCGTCAGGAAGGGAAGGTGTGCCCCTTTTTTGAGGCGCCTCAAAAGTCGTCTCAAAGCTCGTCAGGAAGGGAAGGTGTGCCCCTCTTTTGAGGCGCCTCAAAAGTCGTCTCAAAGCTCGTCAGGAAGGGAAGGTGTGCCCCTCTTTTGAGGCGCCTCAAAAGTCGTCTCAAAGCTCGTCAGGAAGGGAAGGTGTGCCCCTCTTTTGAGGCGCCTCAAAAGTCGTCTCAAAGCTCGTCAGGAAGGGAAGGTGTGCCCCTCTTTTGAGGCGCCTCAAAAGTCGTCTCAAAGCTCGTCAGGAAGGGAAGGTGTGCCCCTCTTTTGAGGCGCCTCAAAAAGTCGTCTCAAAGCTCGTCAGGAAGGGAAGGTGTGCCCCTCTTTTGAGGCGCCTCAAAAGTCGTCTCAAAGCTCGTCAGGAAGGGAAGGTGTGCCCCTCTTTTGAGGCGCCTCAAAAGTCGTCTCAAAGCTCGTCAGGAAGGGAAGGTGTGCCCCTCTTTTGAGGCGCCTCAAAAGTCGTCTCAAAGCTCGTCAGGAAGGGAAGGTGTGCCCCTCTTTTGAGGCGCCTCAAAAGTCGTCTCAAAGCTCGTCAGGAAGGGAAGGTGTGCCCCTTTTTTGAGGCGCCTCAAAAGTCGTCTCAAAGCTCGTCAGGAAGGGAAGGTGTGCCCCTCTTTTGAGGCGCCTCAAAAGTCGTCTCAAAGCTCGTCAGGAAGGGAAGGTGTGCCCCTCTTTTGAGGCGCCTCAAAAGTCGTCTCAAAGCTCGTCAGGAAGGGAAGGTGTGCCCCTCTTTTGAGGCGCCTCAAAAGTCGTCTCAAAGCTCGTCAGGAAGGGAAGGTGTGCCCCTCTTTTGAGGCGCCTCAAAAGTCGTCTCAAAGCTCGTCAGGAAGGGAAGGTGTGCCCCTCTTTTGAGGCGCCTCAAAAAGTCGTCTCAAAGCTCGTCAGGAAGGGAAGGTGTGCCCCTCTTTTGAGGCGCCTCAAAAGTCGTCTCAAAGCTCGTCAGGAAGGGAAGGTGTGCCCCTCTTTTGAGGCGCCTCAAAAGTCGTCTCAAAGCTCGTCAGGAAGGGAAGGTGTGCCCCTCTTTTGAGGCGCCTCAAAAGTCGTCTCAAAGCTCGTCAGGAAGGGAAGGTGTGCCCCTCTTTTGAGGCGCCTCAAAAGTCGTCTCAAAGCTCGTCAGGAAGGGAAGGTGTGCCCCTCTTTTGAGGCGCCTCAAAAGTCGTCTCAAAGCTCGTCAGGAAGGGAAGGTGTGCCCCTCTTTTGAGGCGCCTCAAAAGTCGTCTCAAAGCTCGTCAGGAAGGGAAGGTGTGCCCCTCTTTTGAGGCGCCTCAAAAGTCGTCTCAAAGCTCGTCAGGAAGGGAAGGTGTGCCCCTCTCTCGCCCCACCCACCCACCCTCACCAGACCCTCTGCGTCGACTCACAAGGTCTTTCAAGCAGCGGCGCAGCGTGCATAGATCCTCGTCCTGATGGGCCATGGTGGCATTGCATTGCATCATGTGCCATGGCAGAGCACAGCGACATGCATGCAGCAGACAGTGGTAACGGGCATACGAGGGCGAGAGTGCGATGGCAGGAGAGTTGGAGGAGAGATGGAGCAGGGGGAAAGATAATGAGAAGAGGGTTGTGTGAGTGAGGAAAGAGGGAGGAGCAAGACAAGAAGTGGGAGTTGGGAGGGGTGGGAGGAAATGGAGGAGGTGACGAATGAGAGAAAGTTAAGGGAAGATGTATCACCATTCTTATGGTAAAGGCTTCACACTACAAGAGTCCCACTACAACGAGTCACACTAAAACGAGTCCCACTAGAACGAGTCCCAGGAGCATGAGCACCATGAGGCGTCTGATCTTGTGTGCTGCCCTGCCCACGATGCCGTTTATGCCTCCCAACCCCAACGCCCCCACGAGTTGACTTTTGAGTTGACTCCAAGAGTCAACTCGTTACAGTGTCCCACCATGAGGCGTCGGATCTTCTCTGCTGCCCTGGCTACGATGCCCTCCATGCCCCCCAACGCCCCGAGGTCCTTCCCCTGCAGCTGCCTGCACGAGGAGCGGAGAGTGCAGAAGAGTGGAGAGGAGTGGAGAGGAGTGAATATCAAGGTATGCTTGCATTGCAGCCCTTACCACAATGCCCTCCATGTCCCCAACACCCCCACGTCCTTGCCGGTTAGCTGCCTGCGCACAGCCACGAGGGGAGTGGAGAGGAGTGGAGGGGAGTGGAGGGGAGTGGAGAGAAGTGAATCTCGAGGCATGTTCAGCACCTAGTTACATCAGCGCCATAACCTCTGCTACGTTTCCGTCGCTCATTATCTGTACTCGATATGGTTATACTCGCTAAAAGTTCTCTTCATCGCGGCACCTGGACTCACTTCAGCTGCACCAATCGGTTCACGACAGCCGTCGCCGCGCGCAGCCCGTCCGCCGAGGCGGCGTCCCACTGCTTCCGCACGCCAGACGCGGCGGAGAACGCGGACCGCACGCGGCGCTGCTGGCGGCGCCGCCAAAGATGGAAGGGGAGCGGCGGAGGGGGTTGGGCGGAAGGGGGAGGCGCGGACGGGGGAGGCGCGGAAGAGGGAGGTGCGGAAGGGGGGAATGCGGGTTTAGCGGGCAGCGGCGGAGTCCATAATTCCGCGCGCGCGGGAGGCGCGGAGGCCATAGCGAAGGCGCAAGGACTATTGCGTCGTCTGAAAACGCCGAGTCCGCGCGGAAGGCGGAAGGACAGCCGCAAACGTGGCGGCGGAAACGTGTCAGGAAGAAAGCTGGGAGTTGTCACTTGTAGTCGTACAAAAGGGTGCTAGCTGGTTTGCTACGGCGCAGAGTAGTGGTGAGTATGGCAGGAATAGGTTGTTTAGACCGCTGCAAGCCGATCACATTCTAGTACGGTTCGGTATGGTTACAGGCGTTCCAGAATGCTAACTGGTGTGTTTCGAAGGGAGGGAGGTTATTGCAGAAAATTAATTTTCCCTCGACTAAACAGAATCCAAACCATTTCTAAAACCCCGAACCGCCGTGCTCAGTTGCCTGTAGTTCACGGACACTCGCGTCCTCCTGTCACCACCGTCCGATCTCCCACATCTATGCTTGGTAAGCAATGCGCTCAGGGCGGCTTGTTAATTAGCATACGAAGTAGCGAGGGCGTCTGTTCCCTTGGAATTTGCTCTCAAATAGACGTCTATTTCGCCTGTCGCGAGCATTGCGAGCATCGCGAGCGTCGCGAGCGTCGCGAGCATCGCGAGCATCGCGAGCGTCTCTCCCCGCGATGGCCGACGAGGGTTTCGACGCGCGGAAGGCGGCGGTGCTGGCGGCGCTGGCGTCGGCGGAGCGCGACAAGTCGCTCAAGGGCGGCCTGGATGCGCCGATCGCGAATCTGGTGGCGGAGATCAACGGCCACGATGATCTCTTCACCACCAGCTCGTGCTCCGGCCGCATCTCGCTGCTCCTCGAACCGCACGATGCCGCTGCTGCTGCTGTTGCTGGCTCTGCCGCCGCCGCCGCTGCTCGGACTGAGACAGGAGGAGGACGAGGGGAAGGAGTTGCGGCGGATAGCGCAGGCGCGGCGAAACGGGTGAAGAAGAAAGCGAGGGTGGGTCGCACGAGGGCAAGTAGGCTCGCCGCCGCACATGCAGTTCCTCCCAAATAGCTTCTTGAAATTCTCACAAATCCCTGGCATGAGCAGAGGGAGATGCAGCGCGTGCAAGCAAGCAAGCAAGCTTTCGCGTTGCTTGTCGCCTATATGCAAGCATTGCGTGCATCGTATCCCTAACAGATACCGCCCTCATCACTTCTCACAATGACTTGATGATCCCCCCCGTTCTCTCACCCCTACCCGCATCACAAGCAGGGCGACTTTTGAGGCGCCTCACACACTTCTCATAATGACTTGATGATCCTCCCTTCTCTCACCCCTATCCGCGCCGCCTGCAGGGCGGCGAGTGGTTATTGGTCAGCCACGACCCCATCGACCCTGCCGACCTCGTTACAGCCGTCTTCACTGCAAGCACAGCGCGCACAGACGCCGACGTCAGCAACAGCACCAGCAGCAGCACCAGCAGCAGCACCAGCAGCAGCACCAGCAGCAGCACCAGCACCCCCCCCGCCACCTGTGCCTCATCGCCGCCCGCTCTTCCCGGCGAGCTGGTGTTCCGCTTCGAGCCGCTCATCCTCGCCCTCGAGTGCCGCTCCCTCGCCGCCGCACAGGCGCTCGTGTCCTGCGCCATCCGCGCCGGCTTTAGGGAGTCAGGTGAGGGCTTGGGAATAGGGTTTCGGGTTTCGGGTTTCGGGTTGTGGGTTGTGGGATTTGGGGTATGGGTTCCAGCCGCTCGCTCATCCTCGCCCTCGAATGCCGCTCCCTCGCTTCGGCGCAAGCCCTGGTCTCCTGCGCCATCCGCGCTGGCTTTAGATAGTTAGGAAAGGGCTTGGAACTAGAGTTTTGGAGTGGGGGGTTTGGGTACCGGATGATAATGCCCGCACCCTCGCTTTGGGCGGCTCATTCTTCCTCTCCCCCCTTATTCTTCATCTTTCCCGCCCACTACTACCTCCCCCCAGGCATCACCAGTGTGAGCCCCAAGCGAATCATCGCAGCCATCCGTTGCTCCATCCGGCTCGAGGCGCCGCTGACAGCTGGCGGCGTGCCGTTGGTCGAGGAGGCGTTCGTGCGCCAGCTGGCGGCGGTGGCCAACGGCAAGATGGCTCTCAACCGCGAGCGCACGGAGCGGTTCCGAACAAGGTTCATGGAGGAGGTGAGAGGGAGGGGTTGAGAGGGGGGGGGGTTGTTGGGCTGAGAGCGGGTGGCAGTGATTGGGAGTGGTTGGGGGCAGCTTGGCCAATGGCGAAATGGCTGGTTCTCACCCACGAGCGCACCGAGGGCTTCCGTGCGCGGTTCAAGGAGGAGGTGAGGGCGGTGTTGGGGGGAGCAGGAGGGTGGGGGTTGAGTGGTGTTAAAAAGATGGAGCGGTTTCAAGAGCGGTTCAAGGAGGAGGTGAGGGGGGAGAGGGGTAGGGGCAAAAGGAGTGGGAGCGGGCGTAAGGTCGAGTGGGTCTCTTTGCTCGTCTTTCCATTCTTCCTCTTTTCTCTTCTTTCTCAATCTCTTGTCTTTCCCTTCTTTCCCCTTCTCTCTTCTTTCACTTCTTCCCCTTCTCTTCCCTTTTTCTCTCATTTTTTTTTTCAACCTAGTCTCTCGTGTTGCCCTTCTTTCCCGTTTCTACATTCTCTCCCCTCTCTTCCCTCTCTTCCCTCTCTTCCCTCTCCCCTCTCTTCCCTCTCCCCTCTTTCCCTTCTCTCTCCTTTTCCTGTATCCTCTCTCCTGTTCCTCCCCTCTCTCCCTTTTACTCAGTCTCTCCCCTTTTTTCTCTTCGCCATACCCCCTCCCATCCCTCTCCGTCGCCCTCTCCTCCTTTACTGCAGTGCAGCTGCTCCCTCCTGTCCCATCCGCCACCCCAACAATCCCAACCGCAGCCCACACCACTCCACCCAGCACACACCCCAGTCACAACGCCCAGGTCTCATCTTAGAAATGCGGCACGGCGCAGCGCAAAAGGCCAGCGAGAGGCGGCGAATGGCCACGTGACGCAGAGGCAAGACTGCCAGCTGGCACAGCAGCAAGGGAGCCAGCTGTCGCCACGCCAGCTGGCGCAGCGCCAGGTGGCAGTGCTGCGGAGAGTAGGGGAGGTGGAGAGACGGGTGGTGGGGCTGCTGGGGAGGAGGGCGGTGGAGCAGGGCGGTTGTGAGGCGCTACAAGGTGGTGTTGCAGCGGTGCTGCAAGGTGGTGTTGCAACGGTGACCTTTGAGTCGACTCAAAAGGTGCCAGGATCATTATCAGCAGCAGCAGCAGTACTGTCAGTGGTGGCAGGTGCAGGCATGGTGCCATTGAAGGACGTGGCAGGTGGTTGCTGCAGCAGTGCATGGGATCTGCCCACACGACCACAAGAATCAAAAGATTCGGCTCACGAGTTGGATGGATTCTCTCTGCCAGGAAGCAAGGCACAACGTGGGCAGCTGCACGGGCAGGTGGTAAAGGTTCTGGGGCTGCCCGAGGGCAGCCTTTTGCGGTGGGGCCATTCAGCTGTGACGGTTGCTGCTTCACGGGCAGTTGTGGGAGCTGTAGGCGCAGGAGGGGCTGGTGCAACAGGAGGAGGTTCAGTAGTTGCAAAGACGTCCGAAGCAGAGGAAACAAGAGGAGAGGCTGCAGGAACAGCAGTGGTGGTGTTTGGGGGGTTCGGAGGAAGCGGAGTGCATGGTAGGCGCGGGGACGTGGTTGTGGTGACGGTGAGAGGGAGAGGTGAGGAGGGAGGGCGTGAAAGTGAAGGGGAAGGTGAGGGGGAGCTTGTGGTGGAAGGGAGTGTGGTGGAGACGAGAGGGAGCGGGCCGAGTGCTCGCATGTGGCACTCTGCCACTGTGGTTGCTGTGGAACGCAAGAGGGGAGTGGGTAGCGGGAAGGGAGTGGATAGAGGGAGCGCAGCTGAGGCTAAGGGAGCAGAGAGCACTTTTGAGACGTCTCAAAAGGGAGCAGGGAGCAATGCGGCGAGTGAGAGAGGAGAGAACGAGGGGGAGGGGGAGGAAGAAGAGGTTGAGGAGGTTGAAGGGGAGGAGGAGGAGGAGATGGTGGTGATAGGAGGCAGACACGGTCCCACAGCTGCCCTTGCTGATGTGTTCTCCCTCAATCTGCGCACCATGACGTGGCGCCACGTGGCAGCACCAGAAGCACTGTCTGCAGAGGATAAAGCAGCAACTGCTGCTACGGCTACTGCTCCTGTTACAACCGTTGCACCAGAAGCAACTACTGCTACAGCTGCTGCAGACGCTACTGCTGCTACAGCTGCTGCAGATGCTACTGCTGTTACAGCTGCCACATGTGTACCGGTGGCAAGGTATCGCCATGCAGCAGCAGCACTCGGGTCATCAATCTTTGTCTTCGGAGGCACATCCCATCCCCACGCCCTGCCGCTCACCTCCCTTCAGGTCTTTTCCGCCCAGTGTTTTTCCTGGCTGCCCGACCCAGTTGTTTCCGGGCAGATACCTGCCCCTCGCCATTCGCACGCCATGGCGACGGTCGGTAACCGGGTGTATCTTTTTGGAGGCCGAGACACCCAGAGGGTATTTTCCGATCTCTACTTTTTTGAGGTTGTGGGCAGCGATTCAGCTAATGGGGGCTGGGAGGCGCCTCAAAACCCTCAAGAGGAACTCTCAGCAAGCAGCAGCAACAGTAGTGGTACGGAAGGTAGCAGGCTGCATGTTCGGTGGACCAAGGTTTGGGATTCTGCCCCGGTCTTGATCCCTGAACGGTTCTCACACTCTCTCACCACGTATGGGCAGCACCTTCTGATTTTTGGGGGCTGCCCGCACTCAAGGGCAGGCCCGGAAATCATTCTTGTGAACAGCGCATTCCATGAGGTGTCTCGAATTCCTGTCGCTCTCCCTCCTGCTGCTCTGCCCGTGCGCCACACTGCCAGTGTGGTGAGTGGGCCCTTGGTGACAGGGGGTTTTGCAGTGGGGGGTGCTACTGTAGGGGACAGGCTGCTGGTGCTGGGCGGTGGTGCTGCGTGCTTTGCGTTTGGATCGGTCTTTAGCCCTCCTTTTGTGATTTCTCTGAAAGGGATTCTTCAAGGAAAGATTGGACATTCCAACCAACAGCAGCAGGGGCAGCAACAGCAGCAGCAGGAGGGGGAACAACAGAAGCAACTGGAGCAGGATCAGGAGCACGGGCGCCAGTCGCAAGAAGGATTGGGGTGGGTGTTGCTGGTTCCACGGAGGGAGGGGAAGCAGTGGAAGGATGCGCTACAGACACGTGGCGTTCTAGACAAGACACGCAAGCCAGCCACTGTGAACCCAGATGCCAATCCCGAGGTATCACTTGGCAGTGCTGGTAGGTCAGGTGTGGCTGGTGACGGTGGTGAGTTGCTGCTGGCGCTGCCTGTGAGCGAGTCTGCTGTGAGCACCGTTGCTGCCATGGATGGTGGGTGCATGGCACCACCGACCGTGCCAGTATCAGCAGCGGGGATGACAGCGACAGCATTGAATCCAGCAGCATCACAGTCAGCAGCAGCCGTGCTCACAAAGCTGAGCCTGTCTCCGTCCCCTGCTCGCCCTCTCACTCCCTTTCAACGCCTCCACCACGCCATCCAGGATCTCCTTCATCTCAAGTCAAAGCAACTCCATTCTTCAGAGGACAATCAAACCACTGCTACTCACTCATTTCTTCTCTCTCAGCTGCCGGCCCGCTGGGAGAGGCTTGGAGACATGGTGGTGCTGCCAGCCGATGCCATGTTAGGGGAGGCCTGGGACAGGCTCGGGCTGGAGCTCTGGAAAGTTGTTGCCGAGGCTCTTGGGGCGGCAAGAGTGGCCCGGCAGGTGAGTCTGGCACATCTACACTTCAGGGGTCCGTTTTGTGTAAAGGTTGGGAGGGGATATCGCTGGGCAATAGTCACTGCTCTTCCCGTAACCAGCATCCGTCTCTTTCTCGTTCTCCTTCTCTGTTGCCCCTTACTGTCTTTTACTGGCTTAATGCAGGCTCCTGTGGCACCCACATTGACTAGAGACAGCCAGCTGCACCTGCTGCTGGGGTACTCGTCCTGGGTGGAGCGCCGGGAGAATGGCATCACGTACACCTTCGACGCTGCAAAGTGCATGTTCTCCTCGGGGAATGGCACTGAGAAGCAGCGCATGGCCGCACTCAGGCTTCACGACTGGGAAGTGGTGGTAGATCTTTTTGCTGGGATTGGGTATTTCACGATCCCGCTGCTTGTTCATGCCCGTGCCCGCCACGTGTTTGCCTGTGAGTGGAACCCTGCGGCTGTCCATGGCCTCCGGTTCAGTCTTGCAGCCAATCAGGTTTTGCCTGATCGCTACACTGTGCTGGAGGGGGATAACAGGGTGGTTGCTCCAGTGGGGGTTGCTGATCGGGTGCTGTTGGGCTTGATCCCCTCGAGCAAGGACAGCTGGAGGACTGCGATTCGCTGCCTGAAGCCAAGGGAAGGGGGTGTTGCTCATGTTCATGGTAATGTTGTTGATGTGGAGGAGCAGCAGTGGACTGATCATGTTGTGGGGGAGTTAAGAGAAGAGAAGAGGGGAGAAGCTGGGAAGTTAAGGCAGTGCATTTGGAACGGGTGAAATGGTATGCGCCACACATTCGGCATGTTGTTCTGGATGTCTGCTGCAAGCCCAGCTTGGTTGATGGTGCTGAGTAGTAGATTCAATGCACTAATCATAAGTAGCAGTGCACCAATTTCTCTGAGCTATCGCTCTGTCATGCTGTGGTAGCTATGGTGGAATAAGGTATTATGCATTGTAACTGTACAGTAGCATTGTTGAGGACATCCTCTATTGGAGTTGCATTCACAATGCATCACACATGCTATGATCTCTACCCATCAAGCTCACACAAGAGTACCATCCAGGTAGCTTGCTTTGAGCTTCAGCAGATAAACTTTGAGCTCTGATTCACTGAGATTGGATTGCTGCAGGCATAAAAGACGTTGCGCCACAACATAATCCCGGCGGAGTGCTGTAAACTTGCTGTAGCCTATCTCCAATCGTCTCGATCCCTGGCGCACCAACCACAATGTGATACAGATGTGCAAACATTGAAGGGTCACAAAAGGGACAGCCTAGTTCGTACCTGCTTTTCCAAGTTGTCAGCAATTCGCTGAGCTTCAGACATGACTGCTGCTGGAAAACCCATCGCTTCAGCAAGCCGCAAGCCATAGTGAGGCACGTCAGTGTATCCCTCCTTCAGCACGTACTGCCAGATGATCCCGACATTAGCCTCCAAAGCAAGAGAAATTGGCAGATGTTGGGCTGCAGGTTATACCTTGTAGGCAAGTCTCTCGTTGCTGATTCCAACTGAGAAATAGCACACTTTGCAATTGGGGTAGATGGAGGCCAGCTCACCAAGCTGTTTCATGTGAGTTGCGAATATTATGTACCTGGCAACATGCACCACAATATGTTGGGGGTTACAGTTAAAAAAAAAAAGAGAATACTTAAAAAAAAAACAGTGCATCTAAGTTGATTCACATACGAAGGAAACGTGAGAAGGTGCTCGCAACAGCTCCATGCAATCGCAAGACCATCAAGTGTTGACGTTGCACATCCCAACTCATCCACAACCACAAGGCTCCTGAACAAAAAAAATGCAAAACAAACAAACAAACAAACAAACAAACAAACAAACAAGACGTGATCCTCATTGTGCTTGGCGATTGACGTTACATTATATTAGGATGTACACACAAACCTTGGAGTAAGGTGGTCCATCAAGAATGCAGTTTCACGCATTTCTGTGAGGAACTGCAACACAAACAGGAACTTTGAGTGGGAACGACCATGCACTCGGTAAAGGGTAATGAAGATATGCACGTGTACCGTGCTTGAATTCTCCTCAATGCTTTCTCCAGTGCCAATTCTTGTAAATATACGATCAACCACTCGAAAAGATGCGAACCGTGCAGGAACGTAACAGCCGATGTGAGCCATGATTGTTAGCAAGGCCACCTGGCGAAGGTAGGTGCTCTTTCCACTCCTGGAATAAGAGAACCAGAGCTCAGCATTAGAGTCGTGTTGCACTTGATCAAGAATTGTATTGCAGTATGCATACATGTTAGGACCAGTAATAATCATTGCGTTTGAAGCCTCTGACATAAACGTGTTGTTCACCTGCCAGGCAAGACGGAGGGAATAACATTAACAAGCATGTGAAATTCTAACAGCTTTCCGTAGCAAAGAAGGCTCACCACAAAGGCGTCTTGAAGAAGGTCCTCAGCAATCGGATGTCGACCACCATCAATGGCCAAAGGTCCAAAATCTGAGTTAGGGCAGAAATGCAATAAGTATCGCAGTAAACATAGTAGCAGTGAATCACCTTAACGTACCTGTGAACTCAGGGCGGACATAGCTGTCCACTGCGTTTGTTGTCACAATGTATGCAAAGCTATTTGTTATCATATCAAGGAGAAAGATGCTCTCCAGAAGTGAAGAGAACACAGTCAGCTCCTCCCTAATTCGTTGGCACAAACCTGTCATCAGAATATAGTAGCTTCAGCAGATTCATGGAACACGTTGATCTGCAACAGTGCTAACAAGCTCGATAGTTGTCAAATTGGTTCAAGAAATATACACACCTTCAAGGCAACGCTCTTCCCGAAGGAAGCACTCAGCTGAAGCTTCCTTATTTCGAATGTTAAGCTGCAAGTATAGTTCAAAGATACTCGTTGCGAGAGCTTCTAACATGGGCGTGATCATTGCTATTAGCCCAGTGAACGCAATCAATGCTTACCGACACCAGCTCTTGCGTTGTGCACTGATAATTTTTTCCATTCTTGCTGACCTGTCATGCAAGAGTTATAGACACAGCTCTTACCCTTCACGAATTCCACCAAGTGTAAAGCACTATACCTGGAGAAAGACAGGAGGGAGCTTCTTCCCCTTCACATCTTTATCTGGAACTGTGATGTAGAATCCTCGTCTGTTGTTGAATGGAAGTCGAAGATTTGGAAGAGAATACTGTTCACGATAGGACTTCCCTAGGGAGTGAATAGCTGCCATGACGTGATTTAAAAAGTTTGGATTAACTCGAGTGAAAAAAATAATCTTGGACCACACTGATGGAAGGAACAGTCTCCTCACCTTCACTAGTGGCACAAAATGTGCGCCTGGCGACATCCAAGAAGCCATCAAAGCCAGCCTTGATTGCAAAACACTGCTGTGTTCGAGCAATAAACGGGGACCTTGAATGCATGACATCCTCATCAAGAATGCTTTCTATCCTGCATCAGTGCCTCCATGTAAGTTTACCCTGGATGGTTAGGAAAGTTGAAACTGCACAATACGCCTTACTCCTTCAACAAATCTGAAAAGCTTTGCTGCTTGCAAACAATATCCCGTATGCTTGTTAGCAGGCTACAGTTAGCACCACTCAAGGCCTTGGGAGTATGGCAAGAAAAGATTGTGTTAGTTTCATGCAACGACCACAAATACAAGTCAGACAAGAAAAAACACATACCTCAGCAAGTCGGGGTACAAGAAGAAGAGTCTCTCGCAAGAGGATGATGCTTGAAAGAATCACCATGTTTCTCCGAGTGGTTGCACTCCCTGTGCCATCATCAGCAGCCTTGCGTGGACGAAATGCGAAGCTTGTCACAATACGATCTGCACGATCGTTATTGTATAAGCCAGGTTTTTTACCTATCTACAAACATGCTCCCTTGTGGCATACCAAGATCTTTTGGAAATTGCTGGAGGATGTTTGACAGTGCGGAGTACAAAGACTCGTCGTTAATAATTTCCTCCTGCAAGTGCAATCCACTGGAGTTCAGGCGTTTCGTTGAAAGAGCTTAAAGAACTTGAGCACCCTCAATGCGTATTACCAAGCAATCCAGTCGTAATTTAATAGTTTCCTTGTCCTTCAAGGGTTGGAGAAGATTTGCTTTAAGAAGACGCGCTCTGCTAGTTCGCACAGAGAGCACACGTGAGGGTTCTTTGAGAACTTCATCTGTACAAGATGCACAGTCAGCTAGTGCTCACCCGCCCACTGTCTTTGTTGAATTGAGGACACCAAAGAGGCTAGCTTTTCTCTTGCCATCCCTTTCTGAATTTCCTGGCAGTGGTTCTATTACCTCCAGATTCTGTATGCTGCGCACAGGGAAAGCGGTCAGCAGTCGAGATGCCTTACAACTGTGTGCGTGCTGACGCATCTACTGTACCTGGTAGCATCTATTGACAAGTGGTTGAGGGAGCCGTTGAAAGTAACCTGAAGGGACTTCTGCATTACCGACGCTGACTTCTCGCTTTCAACCCTGCTTGACAACAAGTGATTTGATTAGAAAATGCCTACATAAATATAACGTCTCTGCATACTCACCACTTTAGAAGTGCAGATGCAGCACCAAGGCAAAGATAATACTCCTTGTAGTGCCTATCAACGTTCGTCCCATTGGCCTTTCCATTGGTGTAAGATTGAACAAGTAACGCACCCTGAACGGGAATAACAAAAAGTTTCAGCAAAATCGTTTTCTTTCTAAAGGAATTATGATGAAGGTTCCGCCGCTGACCTTGACGTCGTCGAAACAGCCACGTGCCAGTGTCACCTGTTGGAAACGCCAGTGATTATAGCGAGCCAAAAACACCAGCATCGGCCAATTCGCAAGAATTCCTACCTTCCGAGCGGCAGCGAAGGCAGAATGAGAAGCCAGAGCCATGGCTCCGCCAACGCCTTCTGCTAAATCGGCCATTCGTGCTGGAACGATGATCTCAGACGGTTTGAAATACTGTAGCAATGTCAGCGTGTTCTGGTACGACTTGCTGCTCTCAATATACTGATTCAAGTGCAGAGTTGCGGATCTCAGGTCCAAGGCTGTGAGTCCGACCTACGCATGCAAGGCACATTTCAGTTTGATCAAAATGCGGCGGAGCGAATGGAACAGCGAACGGCTCATACCTCTCGCGCACGGTTCTCAATGAGAGCAACGACTACGTGACTGTCATCCATGTCGCTAGCCATGGCCACTACAGATTGCTGTGAAAGCTTTGTTAGAAGAATTTGTTGTCCTAGTTGCTTTGTTAGAAGAATTTGTTCTTGTTTGACTTGTGTCAAAGCTTTGCACTGACTGTGTGGTTCTGTCCGCGACGCGTGCGGGAGTGGTGAGCTCGAAGTGGTTTGATGGTAAGGATAGAGCACAATGGAAAGAGAAGAGAACCCATGAGGGATCCATTTTCTCCAGTGTGCTCCACTTAAAGCAGCAGTATACATTTGGCAGCACTGTTGTTTCTGTACAGTGTGCCAGGCGATTTCGCCTCAACGAAAATGTAAACAGAATAGCGAGAGTGTTGGCGAAAAACTGGAGCACTTCCGTTGTAAGACGAGCAGGGTTGGGTAGGTTGTGGGTCACAAAATGGGAAACACCTCCCGTCACCGAACTTGCCACATCACACACTACGGGGAATACGCATCTAGTAGCTACTAGTTTAGGTACTAGGCAGCAGGCCGGAGGGTGCTAGGCCAGCAGCGCGACCACATACATAGACGCGGGTGAGTATTTAGCCGTGTGCAGAACAGGCGACGCCTGCGAGCGTCACTAGCGCCAGCGATGGTGGCACTCCGTGTGTGTCGTGTCATTCCGCGCGCGTCACTGGCGCCAGCAATGATAGCATTCCGTTAGCGGGACTTGCGCCAGTTACGCTATCATTCCGCGCGCAACACTTGCGCGCGCTGTGCTGGCATCCGCGCGCGGCACTTGTGCGCGCTATGCTGGCATTCCGCGCGCGCTAGCATAGCGCGCTCAGCAGAGCTGCGCTTGCCAGCAAAACGCGCGCCGCAAAGCGGCACCTGCATACCGCGCGGCGCGCCAGCACAGCGAGCGCATGTGACGCTTAGATGCCCCAGCAAACAGCACGCGGTTGCAAGCACGCGCTCTCCAGCGAAATTCAGTCTAGAAGCGCGCGCGAGCCAGTCATCCTACTGCAGCCACCAGTAACGCGCTGCTCGCCTCACGGATTTCTCCAATACACGAAATGCGTAAGGCCGCGTCCACACGTTTGGACTCATTTCCGCCCCTGCTTCCCCTCATTTCCGCCCCTGCTTCCCCTCATTTCCGCCCCTGCTTCCCCTCATTTCCGCCCCTGCTTCCCCTCCTTTCCCCCCACGCATCCCCTCATTTCCGCCCCTGCTTCCCCTCATTTCCGCCCCTGCTTCCCCTCCTTTCCCCCCACGCATCCCCTCATTTCCGCCCCTGCTTCCCCTCATTTCCGCCCCTGCTTCCCCTCCTTTCCCCCCACGCATCCCCTCATTTCCGCCCCTGCTTCCCCTCATTTCCGCCCCTGCTTCCCCTCCTTTCCCCCCACGCATCCCCTCATTTCCGCCCCTGCTTCCCCTCATTTCCGCCCCTGCTTCCCCTCATTTCCGCCCCTGCTTCCCCTCCTTTCCCCCCACGCATCCCCTCATTTCCGTCCCTGCATCCCCTCATTGCCGCCCCTGCTTCCCCTCCTTTCCCCCCACGCATCCCCTCATTTCCGCCCCTGCTTCCCCTCCTTTCCCCCCACGCATCCCCTCATTTCCGCCCCTGCTTCCCCTCCTTTGCCCCCTTGCTTCCCCTCCTTTCCCCCACTTCTTCCCCTCCTTTCCCCCACTGCTTCCCCTCCTTTCCCCACTGCTTCCCCTCCTTTCCCCCACTTATTCCCCTCCTTTCCCCCACTGCTTCCCCTCCTTTCCCCCACTGCTTCCCCTCCTTTCCTCCACTTCTCTGCCTCGCCTTTCCCCCCCGTACTTCCCCTGCTTTCCCCCGCTGATTCCCCTCCTTTCCTCTCCCCTCCTTCCCCCCGTTTCCCCCACTGCTTCCTCTCCTTTCCCCCACTGCTTCCCCTCCTTTTCCCCCCTCTCTGCATCGCCTTTCCCCCCGTGCTTCCCCTCCTTTCCCCCCTCCTCCCCCCCGTTTCCACCACTGCATCCCCTCCTTTCGCTCCCTTCCCTTGCTTACCCTCCCTCCCTCCCCCTACCTACTGTTTCCACTTTCCACCTCCAGTATCGTACTACCACCCACGTTTCCCAGTAATGCCCTCTCCGCATCCCTTCTCACCCCATCCTTTCCTCTCCGCATCCCTTCTCACCCCATCCTTTCCTCTCCGCATCCCTCCTCACCCCATCCTTTCCTCTCCGCATCCCTCCACACTCCATCTATCCTCTCAGCATCCTTTCTCTCCCCATCCCTCCTTGCCACCATCCCCTCAGGTTTTGTGGCGCTGTGTCCAGGAAAGGCGACCTGCTGCGTGCACTCTTTGCTTAGTTACTAGTATGCATGGATTGCCTCTCTGCTTTTACTCGTGACCACTGCTTTGTTTACATACTGTGTTATGGTAGGGAACATGCTACAAAGAGTGTTGAAGTCAGCAACCTGTAATGATGTCACAAAGCACTACGTTCAATAACCAGTTGGTAAAAACACAAACATGAGTTTGATGGCACGATGTGTTGGGTCAGTAAGAAATACCTAAAAGGGGAAAAGAGGGTGTGTTTATGTGCTAATGTTCAAGGCGGAAGATTGAATACTTGGATCGTATACAGACAGGCCGATTGACCGAGAGGCTTGAAGCTGCTTTGCTCGTAGCCGTTGCCATGCTCCCCTGCCATTCCCATTGCAATCGCAGCCTATCCAAGCCCAGGTTGCAGGCTGTTATGTGCCCTGTGAGGCGTAGGATGTGCAGTCAGGAAAGCACCCCACCTGCAACACAAGCACAGAAATCGAGCAAGGGAATACAATGTGAGGGCTGTAGGAGGTCAGATTCAACTAAGAAAGAAACACATAAGTGTGGGGGACCTGGAGGGGCAGGGTGTGAGCAGAGCGCCCTTGGTAGAGGAGGGGGTAAGAAGAGGTAGGAGAGGGGAGGTGAGAAGAATGCCCCTGGTAGGGGGATGGGAGGTGAGCAAAGAGTGCCTGATAGGGCCAGGAGAGGTGGTAGGGGAGGGGAGATGAGAAGGGAGTAGGTGGTAGGGGAAGGGGAGGTCAGATGGGAGTATGTCGTATGTGGTAGGGGGAGGGGAGCAACGATGTGAGTAGGTGGTATGGGGAGGCGTGGTGGGCTGAAATCCCGTGGTAAGGGGGGGAAAGGGGAGGTGAGATTGGAGTAGGTGGTAGGGGGAGGGGAGGTGAGATGGGAGTAGGTGGGGGTAGGTGGGAGATGCATGTTGAAATTTCCCATGGCAATGCCGCTGTTGCTTCGGAGGTGACGACAAGAGAATCGAAAGGGGCTTGGTTACAGGTTTAGCGGAAGGGAAGGATGGCAGTGAGGATTGCAAGAGGAGAGAATGGCTGGAGGAGTGCGTACGGATGGACGGATGGGGGACAGGAAGGCAAGGAGAGAAGGGAGGGAAGGGAGGGCAGGGAGAGAAGGGAGGGAAGGGAGGGCAGGGAGAGAAGGGAGGGAAGGGAGGGCTGAAGGGCGAGGAAGGGAGACACGGGAGAGAAGGGAGAGAAAAGGAGGGAACGGAGAGACTTCTATCGAAGGGAGAGAAGGGAGGGAAGGTAGTCAAGGGAGGCAACGGATGAAAGGGAGTGAAAGGAGAAGCAGGAGAGATGTCGGGAGGGAGAGACGAGGAAGGGTAGGGATGGAATGGAAGGTAACGGAGATACGGTGGGGGGGAGGAGAAGGGCGGGAAGGGAGCGAAGGTATTGAAGGGAGAGAAGGGCGGGAAGGGAGGGACGGGAGGGACGGGAGGGATGGGAGGGACGGGAGAGAAGGGAGAGAAAGGAGAGACAGGAGATTGCATGGAGGGATGAGAGGGAAGGGAGAAAAGGGAGAGAAGGTAAGGGGGGAGAGAAGGGCGGGAAGGTAAGGGAGGGAAGGAGGGAAGCGAGGGATGGAAGAAAAGGGAGGGAAAGGAGAGATGGGAGAGGAGGGAGAGAAGGGAGGGAAGGGAGAGACGGAAGATTGGAAGTCGGGATGAGGGAAGGGTGTCAGAATCCCAGCCACTAACCACTGGGATAAAAGGGCTTGTTTATATAGCGGGTGAGTGCGCCCATAACCCCCCAGGCCGACGTGCCTGTAACCCTTCCCTAGGATCATCGGGGATCTCCAGTGGACCTCTGACACCCCCCCGCACTGGGATGCCCGAAGTGCACACACCGGGAATCGAACCCGAGACCTTCGCTCTGATACCATGTCAGAATCCCAGCCACTAACCACTGGGATAAAAGGGCTTGTTTATATAGCGGGTGAGTGCGCCCATAACCCCCCAGGCCGACGTGCCTGTAACCCTTCCCTAGGATCATCGGGGATCTCCAGTGGACCTCTGACAAAGGGAGAAAATGGAGAGAAGGGAGGGAAGGGAGGGAAGGGAGGGAAGGGAGGGAAGGGAGGGAAGGGAGGGAAGGGAGGGAAGGGAGGGACGGGAGAGAGAGAGAGAGAAAGGAGAGAAGGGAGAGACAGGAGATTGCAAGGACGGATGATAGGGAAGGAAGAAAAGGGAGAGAAGGTAAGGGGGGAGAAGGGGGAGGGCGCGGGAAGGGAGAGAAGGGAGGGAAGGAAGGGAAGGGAGGGAAGGAGGGAAGCAAGGGATGGGAGAGAGAGAGGGAGGGAAAGGAGAGATGGGAGAGCAGGGAGAGAGAAGTGAGGGAAGGGAGGGAAGCGAGGGAAGGGAGACAGGGAGGGAAGGGAGAGACTGGAGAGAAGGGAGGGATTGGAGGGAAAGGAGGGAAGGGAGGGAAGGGAGAGAAGGGAGGGAAGGGAGAGAAGGGAGGGAAGGGAGAGAAGGGAGGGAAGGGAGAGAAGGGATGGAAGGGAGAGAAGGGAGGGAGGGAGGAGAGAAGGGATGGAAGGGAGAGAAGGGAGGGAAGGGAGAGAAGGGATGGAAGGGAGAGAAGGGAGGGAAGGGAGAGAAGGGATGGAAGGGAGAGAAGGAAGGGAAGGGGGGTCGGGCGACGGACAGGGCAAAAGGGAGGCGGCGGGAAAAGGGGATCGGGCGGCAGGAATGCGCATCGGGCGGCGGGAAAGGGGAAGCGGGCGGCGGCGGGAAGGCGCATCGGGCGGCGGGAAAGGGGAAAGCGGGTGGGTGGCGTGAACGGGAATCGGGCGGCGGGAAGGGGCGGACGGGCGGCCCGCCTGGAATCAATGGGCGGGAAAGGGGATTCAGACGGCGCGGAGTGAGATTCGGGCGGCGGGAAAGGGGAACCGGGCGGCGGGAACATGAATCGGGCGGCGGGGGAACATGAATCGGGCGACGGGAAGGGGAGTAGGGCGACGGGAAAGGGAAATCGGGCGGCGGGAAAGAAGAATCGCGAGGCATGACGGGGAATCGGGCGGCGAGAACAAGGAGTCGAGCGGCGTTCCGAATCGGGCAGCGTGACTGGGGTTTCATGGCGGCGGGAAAGGGAAATCGGGAGCCGGGAAGGGGGATTAGGCGACGGGAAAGAGGAACTTTGCGTCGGCGAAGGGAAATCGGGCCGCAGGAAAGGGAATGGCTAAGGCGTTCTCACTTTGATGCGGAATGCTCCGTGTATCAGGCGCCGAAAAATAAACAATGGCTCTGTCGGCGTATGACCTATGCGTGAGAAGAGCTATAATCGCAATGGCTTGCACCGCTTTTGGAAGTTACCTTTTTAGTGCTCAGTAAGGACGCCGTGGGTGTGGGCATAGTGGCGAGGAGGTATGTCCTTCAGTATACTTTTGGCTAGGTATAAACTTTTGACGAGTGAGTCAGGTGACTGGGGTTGGGTTTGGACTTGTCGCTGTGTCTGAAGTCGAGGGACCCTGTAATTTGGTTACCACCATGTACCTTTTATAAACTTTTGGACTTTCCCCTGGCAAATGTATACCGCCGCTTTAAGTGAACTCCGACAAATTACCCAGACATTAGCAAATGAGACCAGCCACATCAATCGTGCATTGAAAGTAGCCGCCAATATAGCTGAACAGATCTACATGGGTTTGTGAAAAAAAGTGGAAACAGCAAGTTTGTCATGTGCTATACGCAACATGATGCACCATGTGAGAACTACATGAATGAACAAACTGAATGCTCATCAGAGACTTAACCCCCAACCCAACCACTCCAGAAAGATATAACATCAAGACATCCGTTACCCTTATGTATTGATCAAACGCAATGTTGTGTACGTATGACATGTCACCATTCCTCAACGTTGTCAGCAATGAATCCAGCACCCAGCCGGCCGTTGGTGGAGCGGAGCTCATTCATGAGACGGCTCCAGTTGGAGCCGAGGCTGCCGACAAAGTAATCGCACTGCGCAGCGATCAGCACGCTTGCAAAGCTCACCGCCACCGACTGCACCCACTCGTACTCCCGCAGCCCCCCCACTGCTTCCTGCTGCCGCGCATTGGACGAGTAGTAGAAACTCCAGGAGAGGTGATCCGCCACCGCTCGGTCCACGTTGGCCTGTGTGGTGCAAGGAGAAGAGGCGGATTGGGGGGGGAGGAAAGCACACAGTCTGACAGGACCGGAGAAAGGCAGCAAGAAATAGGAATTTTAGTGGTTGAGAAAGAACAAACTGCAAATCAGGATGGAATAGAAACAGGACGCAATTTGACAAGCATCTCACCTGAGTCTCAGTGTTGAGCCAGACGTGGGAGAGGTCGAGCGCCTGCGGGCGGAGGCGGTTCATGTGGAAGATGTGGGAGTTCAGGGAGGTCAGGCCCATCTCTGCAACCTTGTCCGTACCCCTTACATGCAGACTCACTATAGGCCGCGGCATGTACGGCTCCTGCACTCCCAGCGACCAGCTGGCATCCGAGCCGCTGGCATTGTCACTGGCACCCCCTGTGGCACTGCCTGTGGCGTCTGCGTGGAAAGACAAGGAGGAGGAACCCGCAAGGGCCGCCAACCGTTCTGCTGCTCTTCTCCTCCTTGCTTCCCAGTCACTTGCATCAGTTGGGACGTTGAGTGCGGTAGGTGCAGCAGGAGTTGCAGAAGCAGCAGGGGCGGTGCTGTGAGAGAAGGAAGAGAGAGCTTCTGATTGGGTGTGCAGGAAGCGAGCGACGTGATTGGCTGCGAGCACGCCGAAGGCGCGGTGCCTCTCCTGGTTGGTGACGTGGCAGAGATGAGCTGATGGCCACCGCATGATGAATCGCACTGCCTGCGCCCGCCACCAGTGCACCTGGGGAAGGGGAAGGGGGAAGGGGAGAGGATAGCAGAGAGGAAGGCATGACAAGAAAAGAATCTTGAGAAGTACTGCCTGCGCCTGTAACCGGTGCACCTGGTGGCATTGATGGGAAGTGGGAGGGGGAGAGAGGGCACAGATGAAAGCATGAAAACAAGCAGGTACTGAAAGCATGAAAACAAGCAGGTACTGAAAGCATGAAAACAAGCAGGTACTGAAAGCATGAAAACAAGCAGGTACTGAAAGCATGAAAACAAGCAGGTACTGAAAGCATGAAAACAAGCAGGTACTGAAAGCATGAAAACAAGCAGGTACTGAAAGCATGAAAACAAGCAGGTACTGAAACGCACTGCCTGCGCTCGCCATCAGTGCACCTTGCAAGGGCAATGGATTGCAAGCAATGCTGCAGAGTCCGGAAATAAAACATTCTGGCAATCTGGTTACCTTGTCAGCCTTGTGTTTGTTTCCATCAATCTGGTTGCAGGGCGATTTGGCAGCTCACTACCTTGCGTTGAAGTCCAGAAAGAGGTGTGAGTTTGCCGCCCAGCTGAACAGTGCAGGGCGAGGCCAGGTAGGCGTCACCCCAGAGACTGAAGGGGAGGGGGAGGAGGAAGGAGGCGAGGGGAAGGGAGGGAGTGCGGAGGACTGGGGGAAACGGGGAAATGGAGGGGGGTCTGCTGGTTGTCCAGTTGCAAAGTGCGGGACAAGGCCAGGAATGCATCAGCCCAGCAGAGGGCTTCTGAGACATCTCAACTTTTGTAGTTCTGAAATGTCTCAAGAGTACATATGCAGTAGAAACACGAGCAGTTGTCCAGTTCAGATCAGATCAGATCAGATCAGATCAGATCAGATCAGATCAGATCAGATCATATCATATCATATCATATCATATCGGATGAGATCAGATCCAATAAGAACGCACTCTGCTGCTCCAGCTTCCATGAAGAGCATCGTTGGGTTGGTGTAACCAACGATCACGATCGGATCGTCCAGCGCTGCCACGTCAGCAGGATTGTCCTTCGCCCAGGGGATCTTCTCGAGGTTCTGCATCAGCGCCTGCTGGATGACGTGGCGGCATGCTGACGAGGCGGGCGGAAAGAAGAAGCACTCCCATTGGCTGTTGTGACCCGCAGCTTAGATTTCGGGGAGGGGGAACAGACCCGGAGGGGGGGAGTGGGCGAAGGGGTGGGTGGGGTGGGATAGGAAGGAAAGACGGGGACGAAGGGGAAGAAATTGGGGCTGGGAGGGGTGGATCTGGGCGGGTGTGGGGGAAGGGAAGAGAGGTTAAGTTGACAGAAAAGGCAGAAGAAGCGGCAGCGTGTTAGAATATCTCCTCTCTTGTAACCTGCATATATGCTATAGGATAGGCTAGAGATAAGCACCCAAACTTAGTTTGGGTGTACAAGTAGGGGTTACCCAATTTGTAGGTTGGAAACCCAACCTTGGTCCAATTATTGGACCCCAAGGGTTGGGATGGGTAGAATTATTGGTCCCCTCCAATAATGTTGGCCCAACTCCAACTTGGCCAACATTATTGGACCCCACCAATAATCTCCCAACCCAACTCCTTGGTTGGGGTCCAATAATGTTCACCTAGGCTAGTTTCCAACTCATCTCCTATGTAAACCCCCCATCCTTTCAATCAATCCATCAACTTCTCTTCTAACTTTTCTTCTCACACAGCGGAGAGGAGAAGAAGCACATTCTTGGCTTATGCAGGGGCTGAGGACGCGAGGTGGTGATAGGGGACTGACTGCGCAGTAAGCGCAGCGCACCCCTCTGCCAACCTTTCAATTCGTAACTCCGGTGGGGTGCGCACCCATCTGGCATGTGCAACCCAACCACCATACACCCATGCATGCCATTTTTTAGAATTCTCAAAAATCGCTCGCAACCCAACTACCACACACCCATGCATGAAGCATATTAAGCCACATGTCATGCACCATGCCATGCCATGCAACACACCGTGCATGTGCCGTACCATGCCATGCACCATCCACGTCATGCAACATACCGTGCATGTGCCATAGCATGCCATGCGCCATGCCATGCACCGACCTTCACAGGAGGGGTTGCGAGCGCGGTCGAAGCCATCGGGTTGAGGCACTAGGGTGCGATTGTGACGCATGGCTACACTGAGCAGCGCTGTCAGGTAGTGGATCTGGATGGTGGGAGAGTAAGGGAACAGTGCACTCAGCAGTGCACCTGAGAGGACACACACACGCATGCTCACAAGGGTACGGTTGTGACGCATGGCCACACTGAGCAGCGCTGTCAGGTAGTGGATCTGGATGGTGGGGGAGTAAGGGAACAGTGCACTCAGCAGTGCACCTGAGAGGACACACACACGCATGCTCACAAGGGTACGGTTGTGTCGCATGGCCACACTGAGCAGCACTGTCAGGTAGTGGATCTGGATGGTGGGGGAGTAAGGGAACAGTGCACTCAGCAGTGCACCTGAGAGGACACACACACGCATGCTCACAAGGGTACGGTTGTGACGTATGGCCACACTGAGCAGCGCTGTCAGGTAGTGGATCTGGATGGTGGGGGAGTAAGGGAACAGTGCGCTCAGCAGTGCACCTGAGAGGACACACGCACGCATGCTCACAATCGTACTGTTGTGTCGCATGGCCACACTGAGCAGCGCTGTCAGGTAGTGGATCTGGATGGTGGGGGAGTAAGGGAACAGTGCACTCAGCAGTGCACCTGAGAGGACACACGCACGCATGCTCACAAGGGTACTGTTGTGTCGCATGGCCACACTGAGCAGCGCTGTCAGGTAGTGGATCTGGATGGTGGGGGAGTAAGGGAACAGTGCACTCAGCAGTGCACCTGAGAGGACACACGCACGCATGCTCACAAGGGTACTGTTGTGTCGCATGGCCACACTGAGCAGCGCTGTCAGGTAGTGGATCTGGATGGTGGGGGAGTAAGGGAACAGTGCACTCAGCAGTGCACCTGAGAGGACACACGCACGCATGCTCACAAGGGTACTGTTGTGTCGCATGGCCACACTGAGCAGCGCTGTCAGGTAGTGGATCTGTTTGGGGGGGTTGTGGGGTGTGGGGTGTAGTGCATGGTGCAGGGCTTGATGCTTCATATGGTGCAAGGTGAAAGGCTCAACAAACACAACAGTGCGCACAGTAGTGCACCCGAGAGGGCACACACACACACGCATACCCACAAAGGTGCAGTTCTGGCGCATGACCACAACAGTTTTGAGGCGCCTCAAAACTACCCACGAAGGTGCAGCTCTGGCGCATGGCCATACCAGCAATGCAATTGGCTGCCTGCCTCTGCTACGCTCATGTTATAGATTGACTTGGTGCGGGTGTGGTGCGCAGTGTGTGCGGTGTGCGGTGTGTGGTGTGCGGTGTGCGGTGTGCGGTGTGGGGTCTATGAAGTGCAGGTGATATGCTATGCGAGTGAGGAGTACACATGCATGGCGCCACACCACACCACACACGCATGCAAGAGCACTCGCACTCGCCTGGGAGCCAACGCCATGTGACGTGGATTTGGCCCGGTGGGCCACGAGGAGGCGCCTGTGCTGTGCATGCAGTCCCCGCAATGGCATTTGAGACGAATCGCATGTGCGATAGCACTCACCACAGGCCACCGCACATGTGCAGGGGTACACACACCACACACCCCGCTTATGCAAGCGTGCACACAAAGACCACACACAGATACCACACCACACCCATGTGCAGGGGCACTCGCCTGGGAGCCAACATCGTGCGACATGGATTTGGCCCAGTGGGCTACAAGGAGGCGACTGTCGATCGGTGCAATCCCCGAGTGTGACTTTTGAATCGACTCAATTGCGCAAGAGTAGAGCCACAACACCACATTTCACACCGCATGTGCTAGAGTAGACACACCACATTACATGTGCAAGAGCACTCGCACTCACCTGGAAGCCAACGCCATGCGACGTGGATTTGGCCCAGTGGGCCACGAGGAGGCGCCTGTTGGTGCAATCCCCTGAATGACCTTTGAGTCATCTCAGATGTGCGAGAATACACACACCACACCACACCACACCACACCACACCACACCACACCACACCACACCACACCACACCACGCCACCACACACACACCACACCACAGCCATGGGCATAACACTCGCCTGGGAGCCAACGCCGTGTGACGTGGATTTGGCCCAGTGGGCAACAAGGAGGCGTCTGTCGGTGCAATCCCCAGGGGGGAACTGGTTGCGCCAGATGTCCCTCTGCACGACACGTGTCAGCGGCAGATTGGCTTCATCTGGCCCTCTGATCTGGGAGGGGATGAGGGCGGGATGAAGGACGGAACGAGGAGAGCCCATCATGGGAGGTCCTGAAAGTTGACATGATTATAGACGTGAGCGTTGATATTAGTCATCCTGAAAACTCCCCACTGCCATACATACCTACAGAAGATCAGTGAATACTAAATCTGCACTTTACCCCCTTACCCATGGCGGTTGCGGGACCTCCTCCCCCTGTGCTTGCCCCGAGCAACCAGGGGAATCACCACCACCAGCAGCAGCATCCGCGAGCCTTGGGTCCCCGCGGGTCCAAGTTGGCTCCTCTCCCCGCGCGCCTCTCCGCTCCCACGCCTCCCGCTCCGCGCTCACTCGCGCGCAGTCCTCCAGGTGCGGCGCAGCGGGCACGCCCGCGGGGAGGGAGACGGCGGACGGGGGAAGCACAGAGTCCCCGCCCAGCCCGTACGCCTCCGACCACGCTTCAACGAGGAACGCGGCTTTCAGAGATGCGGACTCGCCGCCTTGCGCTAGCGCGAGGCGCGGAGCAACGGCGTCGCGAGTGCGCGAGGCGGGAAGCGGGGGAGAGAAGAGAAGCGCGGCAATGATAAGGGATAGGTGGGGCTGCGTGCGCGAGAGGCTGCGTGTGAAGGATGAGAGGCTCTGTCGCGGAGCGAATCGGTAGGAGAAGTGGCGATCACGTTTTGTTTGTTTCGATGGGTGGCATGGTGGGAGGTGGTAGGGACCGCGGCCATGGCGCATCCTACTTGCGAGTGACGGCGCACAAGACGGTCGCGACGGCGTCTCGAGAAAAGAGAGGAGGTGATGTATAGATACTGAGGGACCAAGGGGGGTACGTAAATTTTTTATGGAGGAAATTGGAGGACGAGACATTTCTCCAAGCACAAAATGCGAGCAGGGAAAACCAATTTTGTACTCGTTACTTGGCTGGCTCTGTTCAGGTAAAAGAAAAGCGGGCGTCTTATAACGCTACACAATCGATTACTCGATCTTTACAATAGCCTGTGTTTCCAACGAGGAGCAGTATATCGGGTAAATCTGACGGGCTGTTTTCGGCCTGGCCCTCGTGTGGCCTGACAGCAATTTCCCCATCACCAGGAATCCTAGCGAGCAACGGTCACATTTCTCCACGCGCCGTAGCTCTCCGCACCGCGCGCCGCGATGGTGGCGATCCAGAACTCGCAGAAGTACGATCGACAGCTGAGGTGAGCAGCAACGGGTCGCCGTACCGTGATTAAACCAGGGACACGAATCAGTCCATAAGGAGTACTTGGTCGTTGATCGTGAACTCGCAGAAGCACGACAGACAGCTGAGGTGAGCAGTAACGGGTGGAAGAATATGAAAAAAGAAGGGACACGGATCAGATTATATTGAGCACTTCGTCGTTGATCGTGATTCAACTCGCAGAAGTACGACCGGCAGCTGAGGTGAGAGGCGAGATCGCACGGCCTGGATGCGAGCTGAGCGGTCGAAGCAAGGTCACATTGGTTACGTGCGCAGCTTGTTACCACTTTCCGAGGTGTCCAGCCATCATTGCGTGACGAATGCATTGCAAGTTACGAAGTATTGCAAGGATTTTCGCGAAGTAATCATCCGTAAGCTGTGCGTGACTCGCTTCGAGTGCTCAGCCAAAGGCTTCACAAATCACCTTTCTTGTCAACTCCGTAGCTCGTTTCACGAGACATGTAAGGTCGTTGACAACACCATCCATCTCACCAAAATCTCTATCCCACCCGCCCCCACTGTTCATCAACAGGATATGGGGCGAGCACGGGCAGAGGGCGTTAGAGCAGGCGCGCGTGTGCCTGCTGACAGCAGGCCCCACGGGCACGGAAGCTTTAAAGAACCTGGTGCTGGGGGGGATAGGCTCCTTCACTGTCGTGGATGGCGCCACTGTAGAAGCCCACGACCTGGGCAACAACTACTTCTGTAAGTTGTGCCGTGTGGTTGGTGGGTGATGGGTGGTGGGTGATGGGTGGTGGGTGACGGTTGGTGGGTGATGGGTGGTGAATGCAGGTCCTTCGGGCTGCTGCAGGAGCTAACAACACTTACCCCTCCCCTCTCCTCCTCCCCTCTTCCCCACCCCCTGTCTTCTCCTCCGTTTCTACTCACTTTAACCTCACATGCAGTGGACCGCAGCCACCTAGGAACGTTGCGAGCGCCTGCTGCTGCAGGAGCTGACACTCCCCTCGTCCTCCTTCCCTTCTGTTTGTTCTCCGTATGTTGTGCCTCTGATGCAGTGGACCGCACGCACCTGGGCACATCGCGAGCGCAGGCGGTGACAGCGCTGCTGCAGGGGAGGAGCTGACAGCACTTGTCCCTCTCACCTCGTCACCCCTCCCCCCTTGCCACTCTCTGTGTTGCGCCGATTACTCAGTGGACCGCACCCACCTGGGCACATCGCGAGCGCAGGCGGTGACAGCGCTGCTGCAGGAGCTGAACGAGAGTGTGGCGGCGAGGTTCGTGGAGGAAAGCCCTGCCACTCTCATTCAAGACAACGCCACCTTCTTCAGCGAGTTCACCCTCGTCATCGCCACCCAGGTGCGCTCTCCTGCCACAGATGAGACGAGTCCAAACAACACGTCCACACATGCTTGAGGGAGAGCCCTGCCACGCTCATTCATGACAGCGCCACCTTCTCCAGCGAGTTCACTCTTGTCATCGCCACCCAGGTGCGCGTTCGTTGTCTATCTCCTCGAGAGAGGTGATTGTGTCTCCACCACCACCCACGTGTTCTTTCTCTCCAACAGATTTGTTCCTCCAAACATATTCTATTCCAAACCCTCTTGGTTGGTTGGTTGGTTGGTTGGTTGGTTGGGGATGCATGTTTGCTTAACGATATGTATTGTGTCAAGTTGGTGCTTCGGTGCACGTGCCTTGTGTTTCTGGTTGCTGCTCACTCTTCCGTCTCGCTGGTCTTCCTTGCCCCACCCACCCCGCTCCATTCCAGCCTCTCCTTTCCATTCCTGCCGTGCCACCCTGTTGTGCTGTGCCCGGCACGGCACCACTCTGCCTCATGTGCACGCCTCTCCGTCCTCTCATATTCCTGTGCCGCGCTCCTCTCCCCCACGCCACCCTCCTCACCTACCCAGCTCCCAGGGTCGTTTTCTCTCTCTCACTCACTCCCCGCCTCCCTGCCACCCTCCCCCTCCCAGCTACCGGAGTAGGTGCTTCTACAGCTGGACTCAGTGTGTCAGCAGCACGGCTGTCAGCTCTCTCAGTCGCTACAGCTACATCCACCTCACTCACTCACTCGCTTCCACCCCTCCCTGTCACCCTCTCCCACCCAGCTACCGGAGTCAGTACTGCTACAGCTGGAATCGGTGTGTCGGCAGCACGGCTGTCAGCTCATAGTGGCGCGCTCCTACGGCCTCATGGGTCTTATCCACATTTCGGCCCCAGTAAGTGTCCTCCTCTGCTTCACTAAGCTTCATTATCTTGTTTGACCCGACAGTTAGCAGCACGGCTGTCAGCTCATAGTGGCGCGCTCCTATGGCCTCATGAGGCTCGTCTGCATATATGCTCCAGTAAACCTCCCCTCACCTTTCCTCACCTTTCCTCACCTTTCCTCACCTTCCTCTAATCTTCGTCTGACCTTCCTCTGCCTATGCTTGGTCGTATCCATGCTCCTTCCTGTTCTTGCTTGTCATTTCATGCTCATGTCCTTTCCCCCCTCTCCACAGCCAATCCCCTCTCCCTTCCCCGCATTCCACTTTCAGGAACACTGTGTGGTGGAGTCAAAGCAGACAACAGAGCATGGAGGAATCGAGTGGGGAGTCAGTAGCAACAGAAGTTACTGTTTCTATCGCTTGTGCCTGTGCCGTGCCCACTCTCCTCCCATCCCCTTATGCCCTGTCACCCTACCAGGAGCACTGTGTGGTGGAGTCAAAGCAGACAACAGAGCATGGAGGAATCGAGTGGGGCGTCAGTAGCAACAGAAGTCACTGTTTCTGTCTGTGCTTGTGCCCGTGCGGGCCCACTCTCCTCCCGTCCCCTTATGCCCTGTCACCCTACCAGGAGCACTGTGTGGTGGAGGCAAAGCCAGACAACACGGTGGATGACCTGAGGCTGCACAAGCCGTGGAAGGAGCTCAAAGAGTGAGCCTGGGAGGGCTGGGTAGGGTTGACTGGTGTTTGGTGGGGTGCAGTGCTGGTGGGGCTAGAGGGCTGTGAGCCCGATATGGCTTGTTTGATTGGATGAGACGATCTGCGCCTAGTGCAGACGTTGTGGAAGGAGCTGCAAGATTGAGATGGATGGGTTTTCTTAGGCATGAATGAACGATGGGAGTGTATCGTAACAATCCCATGACTTTTGGCGTCTCAACGGTCGGATCCCATGCTGTTATCCTGCTGCAAGCGCACTCTCACCCCCAACTCTCCCCTCAACATACCCATTGAGCACTCGTCAACCCTGCACTGATGTGCGCTTGCACTCTCTCTCATCACGCTGCAAGCGCGCATCAGTGCAGCAGAATTGCATAGTGCTTCAACCTGGGTATGGCGCATAAGGAAGACCCGAATTCGCACAGGCACCTTCCCTGTGCCGTCATCTGCTGCAGGCGCACTCTCTCTCTTTGCCCCTTTCCCATGCACATGTGTGCTCTCAGTCAGGTTCGCAATGGTGCACAAGCACATCCCATACGCCATCATCATGTTGCACACACACTCTTCCCCACACCCCTTTCTTCCCCTCCACCCATCCTCCCTCCCCTCAATATGACCTCAGGTTCGCAGAGGGCTTTGATCTGGGCATGGAGGACCCGATGCTGCACAAGCACATCCCATACGCTGTCATCCTGCTGCAGGCAGCGCAGCAGTGGCAGCAGGGCGGAGGGAGGGGGGAGGCCGGGGAAGCAGGAGCCAGAGGAGCAGCAGGAGGGGAAGAGGCCGCGCCGGTGGCGATGCAAGCAGATGGGGAGGGGCAGGGAGGGGCGGGTGAGCCGCGAGCGCTGCCGCGTAGTGCGAAAGAACGGTCGGAGTTCAAGGTAGGGAGGGGGGAATGGGGCGGGCGTGACAAGGCAGGGAAAGCGGGGTGAACGTGAGTAAGCAGGGGAAGAGGGGTGGGGCATGAATTTTCGGCTAGAGGACCAGTGGCCTGTGTGGGAAGTAACTGAGATTGGCCAGGATGCGGTTGATTTTTGTTGTTCTTTTATTTCCTTCTCTTCCTTCCTCCACTCCACCTTCCACTCTCTTTTTTCCCGACTCTGTTCCATTGCCACACACACACCCATATTCCCACACACCCCCACCCCACCACATGCATTCCCCTACACCCACAACCCCACACACTCCCACATTCCCACCTCGCAGGCGTTGATCGCAGCACACCAGAGGCACAAGGACGAGGACAACATCAAAGAGGCCGTCACAAGTGAGTTGTGAGTTGACTCAAATCACACACCCACACCCTCACTGCCCACTCCCACATCTCCACCTCCCAGGCGTTGATCTCAGCGCACCAGAGGCACATGGACGAGGACAACTTCAAAGAGGCCCTCGCTGCCGCCTACAAAGTGTGGTCGCCTCCCCCCATAGGTACTGCTCTCGCCCCCAGTGGACACACTGACACGCCCCCCTCTGGCCCGGCCCATATCTCAGCCCTACTGCCCCTTATGTTTTTTGAGAATTCTCTAGAAACATACGCCGGCCCATAAGTCAACCCTACTGCCCCTTCAATGTGCCGTTCCGATCCAACTCGTTTTCCTCCTCCCATAATGATTTCCTCCTCCCATAATGATTTCCTCCTCCCATAATGATTTCCTCCTCCCATAATGATTTCCTCCTCCTGCGTATGCATGCTTGTTCTGCTCGCCACCCCTCATCCTTCTCCTGCTCCCCCTTTAGCGCATGCCCCTTGTCTTGTCTTGTCCTCGGCCCCTTTAGCGCATGCCCCCTGTCTTGTCTTGTCCTCGGCCCCTTCAGCGCATGCCCCTTGTCTTGTCTTGTCCTCGGCCCCTTTAGCGCATGCCCCCTGTCTTGTCTTGTCCTCGGCCCCTTTAGCGCATGCCCCTTGTCTTGTCTTGTCCTCGGCCCCTTTAGCGCATGCCCCTTGTCTTGTCTTGTCCTCGGCCCCTTCAGCGCATGCCCCTTGTCTTGTCTTGTCCTCGGCCCCTTTAGCGCATGCCCCCTGTCTTGTCTTGTCCTCGGCCCCTTTAGCGCATGCCCCTTGTCTTGTCTTGTCCTCGGCCCCTTCAGCGCATGCCCCTTGTCTTGTCTTGTCCTCGGCCCCTTTAGCGCATGCCCCTTGTCTTGTCTTGTCCTCGGCCCCTTCAGCGCATGCCCCTTGTCTTGTCTTGTCCTCGGCCCCTTTAGCGCATGCCCCCTGTCTTGTCTTGTCCTCGGCCCCTTTAGCGCATGCCCCTTGTCTTGTCTTGTCCTCGGCCCCTTCAGCGCATGCCCCTTGTCTTGTCTTGTCCTCGGCCCCTTTAGCGCATGCCCCCTGTCTTGTCTTGTCCTCGGCCCCTTTAGCGCATGCCCCTTGTCTTGTCTTGTCCTCGGCCCCTTTAGCGCATGCCCCTTGTCTTGTCTTGTCCTCGGCCCCTTCAGCGCATGCCCCTTGTCTTGTCTTGTCCTCGGCCCCTTTAGCGCATGCCCCTTGTCTTGTCTTGTCCTCGGCCCCTTTAGCGCATGCCCCTTGTCTTGTCTTGTCCTCGGCCCCTTTAGCGCATGCCCCTTGTCTTGTCTTGTCCTCGGCCCCTTTAGCGCATGCCCCCTGTCTTGTCTTGTCCTCGGCCCCTTTAGCGCATGCCCCCTGTCTTGTCTTGTCCTCGGCCATGCAGCTCACTGCGTTCCGCCCGCTCCCGCCTCTTTCCCCCCCTTCCCTCTCCGCCCCTCACTTCCCCTCTCCTGCTGCATGCGCCAGGTTCGGAGCTACAGGCCACTGAATATTCCTGCCTCTCCTCCTGCATATTCACCAATCCAGCCATGAAGAGCACTTGCACCATTCCTGCCTCCCCTCCCTTCTCCCTCACCCCGCCCCCATTCTTCCCTCACACACACCCCCCATTCCCCCCGCCATGCTGCATCCCTCAGGTTCGGAGCTGCAGGGCATGTTCTCCGATCCAGCCATGCTGCTTTCACATGCCTCCTCGGACTTCTGGGTGCTTGCTGCTGCACTCAAGGTGTGTGCTAGGGTATTTCGTTTAACACTGCATTCTCACCTTTTCCCCCTCACCCTCTTCCTGCCTCCTGCTGCTGGCTTTTATAGGTACGTGTTTCAAAACGTCTCGAAACTTACCTGCGCTCACTCTTCTTCTTTAGAATCTTTCGTCGCACTTTCCACAGCCTTTCGCTGTTTCTTTTCTATCCACCAGCTCATGTCTCCTCGACCGGTCTCCTCCTTTATCACCAACACGAATGTCTCTCTTTGTTTCTTCCACTGCGCCTGTGCATTCAGCTGTTTGTGGAGAAGGAGGGGGAGGGGGATCTGCCTGTTGATGGATCCATCCCAGACATGCACTCGCTCACAGAGTGAGTGTGTTGGAGGGTGTGTGGTGACATGCCCACACTCCCTCACTGAGTGTTTTGGAGGGTGCGTGGCAGTGGTGACGAGGGTGAGTGTGTGAGTGAGAGTGTGTACAACCAGCCTGTTACTCACAACGCAATGTTTTCATTCGTCTAGAAGCATTCATGTCTGCTCGTCCCATCCTGCTCTACTATTCTCTCACTTTCCCTTCCCGTGCTCATTCCCCATCCCTCTCTCCTCCCCCTCTCTCTCCTTGTGTCTCTCCTGTCCCTTTTCTCTCTCCTCTCCCCGTTCTCCCTCCATCCCCCTTATCCCCGCACATCACCAATATTCACCTGCCAACCCTTTCCACCAGTTTCTACGTGGCACTTCAGAGAATCTACCTCAGCAAGGCGGATGCTGACGTGGCAGCGGTGCAGCGACACGTCAGCGAGCTGCTGAAGAGCATAGGCAGGGATCCCGCCTCCATTCCCCTCGCTACAATCAAGCTCTTCTGCAAGAACGCACGGAACCTGAGGGTAATCCGCACACAACCCAACCACTGTCTGAAATTACATGTGTGTGTGCACCAGTGGGATGCTTCTTGAAGCGCCTCAAAAATCACACAACCCAACCACCGACTGTTCTCTGCTCCAGCCTTGGAAAATTACATATCACTGCTGGGTGCTGCTGGTTCTTGAGGTGCCTGAATCATCAGCGGCAACCTGTGTAACTGAGTGATTTCCATGGTTGAGTGATGCTGTTCCCCGTAAACCCTTGCCATTCCCTCCGCGCTTTTATGCCTTCCAGCATTTCCTGATAGCAGCTCCTGACAGTGTCTTTGGTGCTAGACAATCGCAAATGGTACCCTTTCAACTGTGCACTTGTTTTCCTCCCTCCCTGGTCTCTACCTACACTTGTACTCTCTTTAAGGTGGTTCGCTTCAAGCCTTTGAGTGAGGAATTTGGAGCAGGTGCACCTGCTTGCATTCCAACACTGCAGCGGCTCATGTCATCTCCGGATGGCAGGTGCGGTTTCATGTCAACCCTGGATAATGAGGTACAGCTCCGTGCCATCTTCCGATGGCATGTAAAGCTGTAAAAAGTTGAAGTTGCTGCTCGTCTCGCAGAAGGTTTCTGACATTGCTTACACATAAGCGGCATCATGCGTGAAGCCAAATGAACAAAAATCAGCAAAATTTGCTGTCACTTTCCACTTCTCTTCCCTTCGTTATCCCTCCCTTCTCCCCCCTCTCTCTCCCCCCCCCCCCCCCCCCGCACACACCACCTATCAGCCATGCAGCTCTGTATGTGCTCCTGAGAGCCGCCGATCACTTCTACTCCCAGTTCCACCGCTACCCCGGCTCTTTCCCCGGGTAAGGCAGAAACCATAGGTCGATTCTGTGAGTTTCGTATCGGGCATAAGATTCCCGGTTTATGGAATCATTTTCAAGTTTGATGTGATTGTGCATTTCGTTTGCTAGTGATTTTTTTCGTTTGTATGTCCAACGTCATAATAGTTCCTTGTATCAAACACCAGTAAGGTGTATAGGGTGAAGGAAGATGACTGTTATTGTGTTGTGAATGCATGTCTTTTTTTTTTACTGGTTCTCAGCTACCGGCTGGATTAGAAATCTGCTTTCTCTGTCACCCTTTGCCTCCATCCACGTGCCCTCTATTCTCCTGTCAGTGACGTGGACGACGATGACGTGGCACGGCTCAAGAGCCTGGCAGGGGCTATTGTCAGTGGAGGCGGCAGTCCCAGCCAGTCACCGTCGATTCCGGACGATATGACGGCTGAGATGTGCCGGTTTGGTGCCAGTGAGCTCCACTGTGTTGCTGCTGTGATTGGAGGGGTGGCAAGCCAAGAAGCAATCAAGGTGAACTAATGTTAAGTTTTTCTGATGGAGTTTTGCACGATTAGCTTGGACTTGGTCAGCTTTGGAGCATGGACTTGGGCAACATGGAACGTACGTCGTTTCCTTCCATTCCTCCCTGCCCACCTCCTCCCCTCCTCCGCCTCTCCTCCTCCTCCCAATATTTGTTATCTTTCTTCCCTACTCCTTTTCTTACTCTCCATCTTATTCTGGTGCTCATGTGGCTGCTTTTCTCTTGTGCAGCTCATTACCAAGCAGTTCGTTTCGGTCTCTGGCACATTGATTTACAACGGGATTTCTCAATCATCTTCAGTTATCAATTTCAAATAGCCGAATGTCTTGAAATGGTTTTAATTTTCGTAGGTTTCTAGGGCATTCCAAGGCTGTCTATAACCTGTTTTAAGGAGTGCCCATATGTAATATTTCTGTGACGGTGTCCTTGTAAAGGATCAAGAGCGCATTATCCATGGGAGAATATGTCAATGGTAACTTATAGGGAAAATATGTCAATGGTAACTTATATGGGGCACTATAACGCGTACGGTAACAATTACATGTTGTTTTGACGCGTTTGGTAACTCGTTTGACACGTTTGGTAACTATACACTAGCACCCGATCACGCGAATGGTAACTAGAAGAAACCCTCGCCCAAAATGATATCGATTCTGGTTTTTCCCGCCCGCGCCAGACTAAAATGACGAATCCCGATGCACCAAGTTCTGACACACTTCTCGAAATTCTGACACACTTTCCGAAACAAAAGTGAATTAAAGAAAAAATATCTGTTGCAGAAACTTGTTGAACAAAATATTACTTTTTTGGCGCGCGTTTATGATATTGTACAAATATAATTCTGCCGTACTTTCGAGCTCTAAAAACTATATAGCCCTTTCCGACAGCAAATGATTTTGATAGCATCAACCCTAAAATCCGTGCGAGAATGCATTTGGATTTTTTTAAGGCATGTCATTCGAAAAGGGTGCATTTTTTTCTCGAACGCAAAATTATTCCATGTTAAAATAATTACAAAAAAATTGGTGCATTATCGGAATTTTTTCATCATTTTACAACTATGCAATTATGCTAGCAAAAATATGATTTATTCGTTAGTATTATTTGTCCGAGCTTAAAAAAGATATGAAATGGCTCCATCTATTTCAAAATTATCGTTTTTTTTTTGCGGTCAGAAGATCGCTAGAATGATATTTTTGCAATGTTACGGACGAGCGTGCTACGATCAGAGAATGATCGCTGACCAGGATCTTACTCGGGAATGTTCGCACACAGGGAAAAGTTGGTTGGTGGGCCCGTGATCTCAATAGCAGAGTGAATGTAAATGCTTGAGATGAATAAAACATGCAAATACAACGATATAAATATGAGTACAGGGGAATACGAAGCGACCTAGCTAGCCATGTACTCTAAGGGGTACATTCCCTTATTCGAATTCAAACCAACCGTGCGGCCCGAACAGTTACGAAACTGTTCCCGCCAGATTCATTGTCCCTGCAGCTGCCCGATGCCGTTTTTCTCCGACGGTCTAGATCCACCCTAACCGTCTGACGCTTCGAGTCAACTCTGACTGTCTGACGGTTCGCTTTCTTGCTTCGATACTGCGTGCTTCTCTTTGCTGCGGTGAGGAGTGCTCAGTAACAATTACATGTTACTATTCGTAACACCCCCCTTCACTCCTGGCCGTAGCTCGATTTGACCTGTTTGACCACGCCGCTGAGTTCGGAGCAGTGCTGATGTCAAACATTGCATGTTTATATTGTCTAGGCTGTAGTGGGTTACACCTTAGGGGGTACACAAAGTTAGGGTTTCCTACTTGTACCAAACTCTGTTCTAGTTCATCCATTCCTGCTCAGTTATTTCTGACATGGTTTCAGAGCAGGTCCTTCGCTAGGACTGTTCTTAGGGCCCACCGACTTACCTACCTGCTTACCTTCGCTTCTTTTCGGCCCCGATGGCCCCGTCGATCTAGCACGATCTAGCGGCCCTGCGGCCCCTTCGAATTTTTTTTTTAGCGGCCTCTCACGGCCCCCGTCGCGTCGCCCCTTAGCGCCCCGATCGGCCCCGTCACGCCGCCCGCGAACCGCACAGCGCGCCGCGCTCACAGCCCGCGAACCGCCCACGCACAGCCCGCGAACCGCCTGCGCAGCCCGCGACCAGCCCGCGCAGCCCGCACACAGCCCGCGAACTGCCCGCGAACCCCCGCGAGCCGCCCGCGACCCGCTTACGCAGCCCGCGAGCAGCCCGCGCAGCCCGCGCTGAGCCTGCGCGGCTCGTGCGCTGACCGCCGCCGGCCCGCACGCTGCCCGCACTGCTCCCGGCCCGCCGCTGCCGAGCCCGCAGCCGCCCGCGCACCGCCTCTGCTGAGCCCGCAGCCGCCCGCGCACCGCCGCTGCTGCGCCCGCTGCCGCCCGCGCACCACCGCTGCTGAGCCCGCAGCCGCCCGCGCACCGCCTCTGCTGAGCCCGCCGCCGCCCGCGCACCGCCGCTGCTGCGCCCGCTGCCGCCCGCGCACCACCGCTGCTGAGCCCGCCGCCGCCCGCGCACCGCCGCTGCTGCGCCCGCCGTCGCCCGCGAATCACCGCTGCTGAGCCCGCCCCTACTACGCCGGCTCTCGCTGCCGCCTGCTGCGCCTGTGCACCACTGCATTCCTACTACTACACTTTCTGCTACTACTGCTTGTGCGCCACTACAGTCCGTAGGCCCCACCGGCCCCGCTGACCCTGCGCACGCCTTTTCAGTGACTTTACTGCTTCTACTACTGCCGCTGTCGCTATGGCTAGTCCTCCTGTTCTAGCTTTCGACGCCGAGGGCCGTCCGGTCAAATTCGAAACCTGGCTAGATGACCTGCACCTTTTCCTACAGCTCACTGCCAAGGAAGATATTACACTGTACGACCACGCTCTCGGCCATGCGACCGCCCCACTCGCTACTGCCCCCCCAACTGAGCGCTCACAGTGGCAGACCCGTGACGCGCACGCTCGCTTTGCTATTCGCAACTCCCTGCCGCTAGATGAGCGCGAGCACTTCGGCCAGTGCAAGACTGCTAAGGACCTCTACACAGCTGTAGTGGCCCGCTACTCCTCACCCGCTTCTGCCACACTAGGCCGCCTCACTCTCCCCTACCTGTTCCCCGACCTAGCCTCCTTTCACACTGTCGCAGACCTCATCACCCACCTTAAGACTAGTGAGGCTCGCTTTCGCGCTGCCATGCCTGATGAGTTCCTCGCTAGCAACCCCCCCCCGCTCTGGATCACTCTCTACCACGTTGTCACCCGCCTCCCTGACTCTCTGCGCCCTGTCAGGGACCAGTTCCTCTCTCGCTCCCCCACTGAGCTCACCATAGCCCTCCTCGAGAAGGAACTGCTTGCAGCCGAGGCTAGTATCGTCGCTGTAGGCACCTCTCGTGGCGACCCCCGCGGCCCCTTCTTCGAGGGGTGCTCCCCTTCCCCCCTCCTCCCCTCTGTCGCCTCTGCTGCTGCTGTCGACCTCCTTGGTGCTGAGAAGGTCGGGGCTGCGTCTGCTTCAGGCGGACGACGCAGGGGCAGGAGTGGCAGGAGTGGGGGTGGTGGCGGAGGAGGCGGGGGTGGAGGTGGTGGCGGTGGAGGTGCGACTGGAGAGACTAGTGGCGGCAGTGGTGGAGGTGACAGCGGTGTTGGGAGTGGTGACAGGGGCGGAGGTGGCAGCGGAGGCGGAGGTGGTCGTGGCAGCGGCAGGGGTGGAGGTGGCCGGGGCGGAGGCGGAGGGGGTGGTGGTCGTGGAGGCCCGGGGGGCGGTCAGAGTCAGCAGCCTTCCCCGACCCTTCAGGCCGCCCGTGAGTGGTATGCGCGGCGCAGCGTCACCTGCCAGTACGTTATTCGTACAGGTGACCGCACTGGCCAGATGTGTGGGGGGCCGCACCAGACGGAGCGCTGCTTCGCCCGCCTCAACGATGCGTGGCGCACCCAGTTTCCTGGTGGGGGTGAGCTGCCGCGCTGGGCTGATCTGCTCAGGAAGGGTGTTGATATTTGGGCACTTGACTTTGATGCTATTCTCACTGCCATGTATGCGATGTCTATTAGTGGAGAGGGTGCTCAGTACTTGCGTGTTCCGCCCGACCCGGGCATTCAGGCCAGCCCCGCTGCTGCTCTAGGTGCTAGTGTGTCTGCTTCCACAGGTACTACTGCAGCTGCTGCTCTAGGTGCTTGTGCGTCTGTGCCCCCTGGTACTGAGTCGACTGCAGCACTGCACACCTTCACACTGGACTCAGGTGCTTCTCGCTCTTTCTTTCGTGACCGCACTGTCCTTGAGCCTCTAGCTCGGCCGGTTGCTGTCTCCCTTGCTGACCCCTCTGGGGGTCCGGTCCTTGCGACCTCCTCCACCACCCTTCCGTGTCCAGCGGTTCCGTCCGGCACACTCTCAGGTCTCTACCTCCCCTCGTTCTCCACGAACTTGGTGGCAGGTAGTGCGCTCCAGGACTCGGGTGTTCACCAGTTCACCCCTGCCTACGAGCGTGTGACTCACTGCACGTGTGCTCGGACGGGCCGCCACCTGGCTACTTTCACTCGAGAGCCGGGGTCTGACCTGTACACACTGACCACTGAGTCCCCTCAGGTAGCTGCGTCTGCGTCAGCGTCAGGTCAGCTGTCCGCCCCCTGCTCGTGTCGCTCTCTGGCGAACGACACCGTCCTCTGGCACCACCGCCTTGGTCACCCGTCTGTGCAGCGCCTGCGGGCCATGCACAAACGGGACCTTGTTGCTGGTCTTCCCAGGGTGCTCCCTCCTCTTCCTGACTCCCCTGCTCCTGACTGCATTCCCTGTGTCGAGGGGCGGCAGCGCGCCGCTCCTCACTCCTCCTCCTTTCCCCCGACGACCGCTCCTCTGCAGACGCTCCACATGGACGTGTGGGGCCCAGCCCGCGTCCGTGGTCAGGGTCAGGAGAGGTACTTCCTGATAGTTGTTGACGACTACTCGCGCTACACCACGGTCTTCCCCTTGCGCGCCAAGGGTGACGTCCCTGGTGTTTTGATCCCCTGGATCAGCCGAGCCCGTCTCCAGCTAGGCGAGCGCTTTCACTCGGACTTTCCTGTCCTGCGCTTGCACTCTGACAGGGGTGGTGAGTTCGCCTCCGACCTCTTGGCAGCCTACTGTGCTGAGCACGGCATTGAGCAGTCGTACACGCTTCCGGCCTCTCCACAGCAGAATGGGGTTGCTGAGCGCCGCATTGGCTTAGTCATGGAGGTCGCTCGTACCTCCCTGACCCATGCGGCTGCTCCCCACTTTCTGTGGCCGTTTGCGGTCCGGTACGCAGCACATCAGCTCAACCTCTGGCCCCGTG